CCCCCCCCCTCCCCGTCACACCGCGTGTTTAAGTTATTAAAAAATTAATGCTGAAATGAGTGTATTTGCAATACGCTAATCATGCTATATTTATTCGTTTTGTAAAATTGGATAGAAAAAAGTGTATTAACAGGTCACTAACCATAAATTAATATGGCATCTATTAATAATTACTTGTTTTTAATATAAAAGCATCAGATTTTATTGTATATTTATATACGTAAATATACAATTAATAAGTACAGAATCGCGATTCAAGAAGAAAAAAATCAATCAAGATTTTAATAATCAAGTATCTATGTGAAAAATGTTGGAGTATATAAGATTTGCAAGTGCGCAAACGAAATTTTTATTAAGAATTTAAAATGAAAATTAATATAACTACCGTACTTTAAAATATAATAATTATAAACATACAATGCAAGTTTACATGTATTAATATATTTCGCGTAGATTACTTACCATCCGAAATAAAAAATACTACATGACTTTACTGCTTGTGCATTTTTATGTGATATTATCAAGTAATTTATGAGCCAATTTTCATTTCAGTAGTAACCGTTTAGCTAACAAGTTTAATACTTTTTCAAAATCTAATAATTTAAAAGCCCTTATTATCACTTATTATCACTTATTATCGCTAATTATTATTATTATTATTATTATTATTATTATTATTATTATTATTATTATTATTATTATTATTATTATTATTGTCAATGATTTTATTAATGTTGTTGTAAAGTGGTTGTTACTTAAATTACGTCGTTAAATAATTAAGTTTAAAAAAGAAAATGAATTCCGAAGTAAATCAATAGCATTCGATTAAGCATTCGATTCGCAAAGAGCAAATACTGAGATATAAAGTTGAAGCTAAGAATTACGGTGAGAGTCGATGAGGCTTGTTTATAAATAATAGGCAGTACACATACATACTACGTCGTCCGGATCATATCTATTCAATTAATAATAAAAAATTGGCTTAAAATGTTTTTTTTATGAAATTGACACTATATTTTTAACTCGCATACGCACGCATCACCAAGTCCACGGGGGCCGTTATATGTTAAACGAAGCTCCACTAATACCAAGCCATCCTCTCTAAATGCAGCGGGTGAGGCCAACGTCCTTGGGTCAGCTGTCGCGTCACAGCCAGTTCAACGAGCTTGGCTACCCGAGTTACAGCCCCGTCTACGCGTTCTCAGCGACCCAGAGCGAGATGTCGCTCTCGTCCAGGAACCGACCAAACGGTAGCAGCCGCCACACGACCGTCGACATGATGAAGATACTCCCGGGGCAGGTGTCCAGCGTCCTCTCTGCCCCATCCTGCAATTGCTGCTGCACCTGCATTGGTGGCCAGCAGGCCCAGAACCCGAACTCCGGCACACCCGACAACCAGGACGGACCCGAGGGTTTGTCCTGGAGGAGGCTCCACATGTGCAGAGCTAAGCTCAAGGCTACCGCGACTACGTCCGAGCTACTCAGCGGCTTTGCCATGGTGAGCTTCGAGGATTATCGTCCACGTGAGATGATTACGACCCCGGGAGATCTTGCTAGCTCTCTCGTTGCGATCGTGCTTATGCCGCGAGACCCGAACCTTTGACTTTTCGAGCGCTCGTTCTCCTCGCTCCTTCGCATCAATGCATCGGCTCATGTAGAATCTCATCAACCATTCATCCACATGATTTAACTGTGCTGTTTTGACGCCCTTTGAAGATTATTTATCATTATTACCTTATGTCGAGCTTGCAATCCCATAGAAAAGCAACGGTCACGTCTCACGTTCTCTCTCCTACTTACTCTATTATCATTCTAATCACCATTGCAGAAGTAACGATCTCATTAGTGGGTTATTATTTTACAAGCTATTACGTTCGTTATAATTTTGTGCGACTTCGTGGCAAAAGAAAATTTTTTATAATTATTTGTATTCCTAGATATTGCTTTTTTCCTTTTCTTTTTCAGTTTTTATTTTTTTTTATTTTTTTTTTTTTTTTTTTTTTTTTTTTTTTTTTTTTAACTAGAATTCTTTTTAATGATAAAATGCACTCGTTTAGAGTTACGACTGTAATAAAGGATTATATAAAGTACGTTGATTATAAATAACTATAGAAGTTTATAAGTTTAATATTCGTATTGAATGGAGATAATGCAAATTTCAATAGTTAGAAAACTTATTATTCACTTATCAAAAGTATAACAGCATAAACAATGTGAAAATAAATAAATTTTAATTAGCCTATCGCATTGTAAACAGTTGTACGTTAATAAAATGAAACATAATGTTGAAATATTTTTCATGTCTTTTTTTTTTATTTATTTATTTTGTTTTTTTTTTTAATATCTTTCGAGATAATGAATTCTCGCATTACTGACAAAAAGAAAGCGTTCTTAATTTTATCTTTTGGATAGATTTTTTATTTAACATACACAATATGAAGCATTATTCTAGACTTTCAAACATTAGATTATAATATTACATAATGATTCATTGGAAGAAAATAATTGTCAAAAAGTATTAATTACCCTACTTCTATTAATATTTAATAATAGACAAGCTTTATTTATACTGCACTGAAGACTTATTAAAATATTATCGCCTTTATTAAAACACCGATCTTTATAAAGCTAGGAATTTTTGCATCATTGAAAAAATCATTGCTAAATACCAAAACAAAGTATAACAATGATTTAGTGCAACAGGAGAGAATTTATAATTTGCTCATTATGCAAAGTGGTTAAATCGTTTGGACTAGGAAATATTTCAAACTTGATTTAAAACTTCGTGATTACCCAACGTTTCTAAAATCATTAAACAAAAAATGTGACATTTCCACAGGTAATCTTTCGTATCATCAAACCTTAAATCACGTGAAACACGTATGAAACGATAAATCAAAATTAGGCGTGTGTATGTGCAAAAACGATTAATTCTAACAAAAGAGGTTTTGAAATGCTTTCAACGTTATGAAAAATTATAGGATTTTCATTATATAATTCTAAATGTATCACCGATACTAATTAAATATTTAGTTTAAAAATTTCTTAAATAAACATTGGTATTTAACAATTATCTTAGCCAGAATTCGTAATATTAAAAGAAGCTGAACGTTAATTTCAGTTAAAGTCTAATTGTTTTTGTGCGTAAATTTTGTATTTCTATTTTTAAATGAAAAATCTTTCGAAAAATCTTTAAACAACCTAATTTTTTAGCTACATTAGCTTACATCAGCCTTTACTAATTACACACAACGCAACACCGTCATTTATTCAATCGTGCATTAAAATTCCTTAATTATTAAATTAATTTATTATTTATTAAAAGTCAAATTTCTATATTGACAAATAATTCGTTAATTTTTACAAAATGCAAAATCCGTAGATATCGAGGAGCACGATCTTATTACAAGTACCATAAGACTAGAAATGCAATTCAAGTTCACCATATGTAACTTATGAATAATTATGTGAAATAATTTGTCGTAATAGATAGATTATATATTGCATAAGATTGTAATATGTAATAAATTTGCAGTTAGTTATATTTATGTAATGCTTGTTGAATATAATATTACGCAATAGAAATGAAAAGTTTCTATTCAAGCACCCAATTTATTCCAATAGATTTCTCATTCCTATTATTTTTCGAATTTTTTTTTAAATTCAACCCTGCATTTTCGGCAGGATCGAATGTTTTTTAAACGTTTCGGCGTAATCTTAAATGCCGTGATTTTTCGACATACGTAACGTTAGGTTAATATTGAATCACCGCAGGTGATTGAAAATTATTAGTGACAAAGTAAATACATTATTTATTCATTAACGTCGTGTGGGCTCTGGGCGCTGAGGTGAAAGCGCAATCGCAATGTAGACGAGTGTCGGGCGATGCTCAAAAACTCTTAATATTCAAAGCTTTACAATTAAACTAAAAAAAAATAAAAAATAAAATAAATGTTTGCGTCCCTCCCCCCCTCCTCTCTCCGGCAAGGTGGCGATGGTCGAGCTGCAGATAAACGAGCCGACGGCGGTACCGGAGTGGCTGTTCGTGATGTTCGCCGTGTGCACGACGGTTCTCGTGTCGGTGCACATATTCGCCCTGATGATCAGCACCTACCTATTGCCGAACGTCGAGGCGATTAGCAAACTGCAGGTCTCCCGACTGGTTACGGAGTCGCCCCACGAGCGCATGCGCGGCTTCATAGAGCTCGCCTGGGCCTTCTCCACGGTCCTTGGGCTCTTCCTCTTCCTCGTCGAGGTCGCGATACTCTGCTGGGTCAAATTCTGGGACTACTCTTTCACCGCGGCAACCGCGAGCACCGTCATCGTCATACCCGTCCTCATTGTCTTCATAGCCTTCGCCGTACACTTCTACCACTCTCTCGTCGTTTACAAGTGCGAAACTTCGGTCTCGGATATGAAGGAGTTGGAGACCATCAAGAGGAATCTCGATAACGCCTCACTCGGGCACAGCAGAGTCTGAGGCCAGTCGTCTTCGAGATCTTCGTCACTTATATCGCCGAGAGAATTTAATACCTCAGCCGCGCATTGCGATAAAGCCGGTCTTCGTCTCTTGTGCGAAATAAGCATCGTGAGGCATTGACGGGAACCTTTGCCAACGGCTTTCGAATGATAAACATAGTGAATAATAAGGTTCGATGTGTCTTTGAGAGATAAGCCGTAACTATTGACGTTTAAAGCAATAATTTTTAAAGCTAATTTTTAATGTTAATTAAATAAATACAATTTTTTATTCAGCCTTTAAATGTAAGCTTATTCGCGGATTTATTTAATGGAATAATGTAGAGTACTTACGAATACGTATAAAATGGTCATCGAACTCTGCCAAATAACTTGACTCTGTAATAGCTTCATTTATTTTAAGTATCGCAAGTAATTTTATATTCGAATGATCAATTCTGTAAGAGATGCGCCATTTAAAAAAGAATGTTATATATATATATATATATATATTAGTTAATTATTATAAAGTATGCCAATGGCTTATTGCCAAACGATACGTTTAATAGTTATTAATTATCTTTTAATATCGAAAAATTCTTATGTTACAATTAATAACGTGTCTTTTCCTTATCGGTACTCATCGTTCGCGCTAGCCATCGTTAATGAAAAACGCCTCGCAAATGAATAAAAAAAAAAATAATAATAAAAATACAAAAAAAATTATAAGAATATATAGAAAAACGATTGATGCCAATTTCGAGCAGTGAGACGTTAAAAAATAAACATATTAAAATGAGAAATCATTGCATTCCATTCTAGAGACTAAAGATTTACTATTAATGGGCGAAATCAATAATTCACGCAATTATATGTAAATAAAATTTTAAATTAATTACTTTTTCCACATAAAATCCCTAGATAGGTTTACACTGATTTTGTAATCGTTAACATATAATCCATAATACGAACATCATCGAATTTTATTGAATCTAAAAATATTATAACATGTATCTCAGTCGGTTGACTAGATAATGTAAAATTTTTGTTGTTTGATTCATAATCAAGAGCCTTTTATAAAAAAAAAACCTGTTACAATACTTTATTTGATAATTATTAATTAAACCAAGTGTGCTAGATTATTAGCGATAAATATTTCTTAAATATTTAGTGCGTCGAATTAATATTTTGTTTCGTAATTTTTTTCTAAATAAAAATGATTTCCTTTTGCAAAAAAAAAAAAAATACAATGTTTCAGTTATATGATACAATTTTTTGTTTGTTAATGAATAATATATTTCCATTGAATTACGAAACTTTATTGTTTAATTAAATAATTATAATATATATATATATATATATATATATATATATATATATATTGTAATCAATTCAGTTAACTCGGTTCATTAAATATATACCCCAATTAATAATAATTATGGCTTTTTTTCTGAAATCTCATTTCAAATTATCTAAGAATACTGAAATATGATAAAGATTTTTCACAAAATTACTATTTTTACAGATTAAAAATTAGTGTAATAAGCTATGATATTGTCAACTAATTGTATCACGCATACTTTGTATTTCAAATTTACCTCTGTTCCAGTACAAATATTTTCATATTGTTTCTAAGAAAAATTAACTCTGCCTATTAAAATTCTTAGAAGGAATAATTATTTCATGAAAATCATTATGAATTGACATAAATTAACGTAATGCGAATGAAATTTTCATATATTTTAATATATGTATATAAATAATAAAAGATGAAAAAAAAAAAAGAATCCTTACTAAATTACGCATTTACTATGTACTTATAAGTTAAATAATATGATATAAGTAATAAATACTTATGTAAATCTTATTTTTATTTATAAAACTAAAGCTATATAGTTAATACAATTTTCTGATATCATAATTAAATAATTGTGTTATTAAATATTAAAATATAAGTTTCTGTTTTGACCGAAACAACTACTTAATGAATAAATCACATTTAAAAATAAATGCTAATATAAATATAATGTACTTTGCATTTTTCATCCCAAATATAATTTTTTCATGATGAAAATCTAGAGAAATAATATAATTCCTAATTTGAATTTGTTAAAGACTTGTAGATTATTTAGTCAAGACAATAATATTATAACTTACATATCTGTATAAATATTGTCATATTTTATCTTGTAATATATTATTGTCTATATATGCATATATATAATATTAATAAAAATTAAATAAAAATTTATTAAACTGAAAAATAGTTTTTCTTATGGTTTGTTACCTGTATGGTGAAAATATGTGAAAGTATTCCTTTTTTTATTTATTCGTAAAAATGAGTATTGGCATTAATTGCGCAAAAAGTAAGTATCGATTTAATTGTAAAAGTAATATTAATAGTAACATTTTTCTATGACGCTTGTAATAAGATTATGTATAAAAGTACAAATAATTAGAAAAGTGAAAGTAAATAGTGAAATAATGTGATATTTATCGAGTCTGTTTTAAAAATTTGTTCTAAATTTTATTTTCAACAATATTTTAAAACACTTATTATTAAAAATAATTAATTTAATATATCGAAAGAATTTATTTTAAAAAATAGTTAAACAGCTGTAAACATATATTGAATGTATTATATTTTAAGTATTTTTAAATTAAATCAACATAAAATTAGCTTAAATTAAAATTAATATTTTGAATTAAATCTTGTTCTTATACTGGCATATATGTGAGTACATTTTATATAAAAATAAGTGATGTACTTTAGGTAGAAAAAAAACAAACAATTTTAAGTGTTTTTTTGTTTCGGTAAAAATTTAATAATATTAAAGAATGTATTACATTAATATTTGAACGGATGATATCTTACAAAATGTCGTATTGTTTACACATCAAATTTGTTATTTATCATATTAGATCGTAATATTAAATTAATATCCTTTCTATATTAAAAAAAAAAGCCTATGATATTGAAAACAAAATGTTGTTTACATTTAAAATAATAATATATAATTATTTATTTATTTTTTTTTTTTTTTTAACAATATGTATGTTATTACGAATTTTTAGCATTATTCAATGAATGGAATAAATAAAGTGAAAATTAATTTTAATCAATTATGCTTATATAATATATAATTGTAACTAATTTAGAAAACATTATTAAATGGTAATGCCAAAAACGTCCATTAAAAATTAAATAAATATCGGAATGTATTTATGGATCATGGGTGTAAAAGTATAACTGTAGAATATTATTAATTATCACTCGTTTTGAATTTCGAAAACGCCCCATTGAAGTGTTTGTCAATGGAAACGAGTCAGTTATTATTATTATTATATTTTTGTTTTATTACATATAAAAATGTACAGGGCTGTACACATGCAAGTCAATAATTGCAGCGATACAAGCAAAGTGCTCTTACACTAATTACAATATTAGTTTTTGTAATAACTAATTGTATTCTCGTTTTTAAGATGCAACACTATTTTCCCGATCAAACCTGTTCTCATCAAGTTTTTATTCTTTTTTGTTGTTCTTTTTTTTTTCTTTATCACAGGTCGTAGCTGTAATCATACACGGTCTTTAAGTAAGTTTTTTTTCTTCTCCAAATTTTACTCTTTTCTTGTATTTTGTAATGACGAAAACGTATTGAATTCACAAAACTTGGCTTTAAAAATAATATAGACTTCATGTAAGGGGAAACTTGACCAAACTGATAAAGACGAGAATTTATTCGAATTTATACAAATTTGATAGTGCAAACTTTATATTAGAGACAGTATATTTTTATTATTTGCTTTATTTGTAATATACCGATGAAAAATAATTCTTTTAACTAAAGTCAAAGTATGCATTTATTTATAAGTCTTAAATGTCGATTCAAATGTTATATCGAATAATAAAAATATACGTTTTAAAAAATATTTTATTAATACTTAATTCAATGTTCTTTTAATCATTTATCAAATTTCATCTTGCCAAAAAAATCATTTTATCATCGCATGTTATAATAATGCTTAATTACATATAAGAATAAATATAAATTCAAATTATATTTTATTTTATTTATTTACTTTTTTTTCTTCTTTTTTTTTTTTTAACAGAATGCTTAGATTATTTATAATATCTAATCTAGAAGGATACACTATATATTTACATTTGTTTAAATTATTGAAATATCTTAATCCATTGTTAGAAAATTAAATATGCTAATTTTCAATTTTTGCAATAATAAAAAATGCATTATGTTACAGTATAAAACATCTGTTTTAACTTTTATCATAGAACGATGATAAGTTATATTTGGTAACAAAGTTTAAAAAATTTTTAAATTAATCATTTATCTTTATGTTAAAACACTGAACAGTTTTTGTATTGAATCAAAATGGATGAATAAATTTGTTTAAATATAAAAGAAATTATATAATTTGTTAAGTTTGAAATATATTTGACTTCAAGTTTCCCCTTTATAATATAACACAGATGAGAAATAATAATATTAATGATTTTACTATTATATACCCTTCTTAAATAAATACGAAGCTTATTTTCGCTACTTTAATGAAAACTGTTGTTTTATTATAATTTTATTTCGCGTCGTTTTAAACTTTCTAACTTATAAATGAATAAAGAACACAAGAGATTTCATCGCTTTACAACATTGGTAAAGAATCTTTTCCTTAAGGGCAGCTCTTTGTACAAAAGCGTCTATTATTTATATGTTATCCACGCGATGAACAGACAGTATTTACAACTTAGCAGAGTAAATTATATACCCTATACGATGAAATGTGCCATAGTCATACATTAAATTATAAACGATAACTCTCTCTCTATATATAGTCATCTGATCAGTTAATTGTTTACGGCGTATCTAACGGTTGAACAATTAAATGATAAAAGAATAACTTATCTGATCGTTTTGACAAAACACGCACTTTGGTGAGCACACACGCACGCACGCACGCACGCACGCACGCACGTGCACACGCATACACGCATACATTTTCTCTCTCCTTCCCTTTCTCTCTTCTCAAGTATTTCAAAGAAAGAGAACGAGTTTTTTTTTCTTTCAGTATTTATATAGGAGCGATGGCGATACATTAATTTAACAAGATTTGTCGAAACAGGTAATACAGAAGTAATGTGATTGCTTGTGCTATTGACGGGAAATAAGAAGGAAAAAATGTGCATGACCGAAGCATTAGAAAATAAAATAATTTATAACTATTGCTTTTTTTTTTTTATATATATATTTCCCTTCTCTTACTAACTCTTGAAACCGTTAACGTTTTGTTATCAATTTCATACAAATCACAAGTACAAATGTTCATTTATATAGAATAAGATGAAAAAATTATATATATATATATTTACGGACATGAGTACTTTTTGTTTAATCGAATTAAAAAAAATATTTTATTATTTTTCAATAATACGAATTTTTAATTTTGGTTTTAATATCTCTAAGAAAATTATTTCAATTTTTTTTATTATTATTGCATTGAATTATCAAATTATAATCAATGATAAGTCCCCATATCCACTTTTTTTTTACACTTTAATATATTTTGTATAAAATTTAAAGGGTATTAAACATCTTTATTCATGTATTTTAAAAATAATATTCACATAACAATAATTTAATGTTAAGACATGTATATGTGTCTCATATTCAAGTAAAATAATAAAATAAACATAAAGTTAATATTAATTTTTCTCTCGGTATAAGTAATAGCAAAATTATACACAAATATTTTGTTCTTTTTTTTTTCGAAATACCTTGATGTATGCTTTATACTGAGCTATTATACACAGTTGAACATTCGAACAATTTTTCTATTAAATCAATTTTTAATTGATAAAATTTTAAAAGCTTAACAAATACATTTCATTAAAAATATTCAACGTCGGCATCAATCGTTATTTTATGTTTGATGAAAGTGAAACAAAAATAATTAATTCGATTTCTAAAGCTAAGGTTTCATTGATTTAATCTATCCAATTGCGTTGAAGATTAATCTTTGATATATTTCAAAGACATTAATTTGAACATTTATTTTAAAAATTTCGATCACGCAATATCACAAAAAAGAGAAATTAAATAACAAACGTTTATGGTGAGTGTCATTTCGTCGCAAAAGAAACATGGAAAGCTTTAAGACCTTTACATCATATACTTTTTTTTCTTTTTTCTTTTTTTAACAATTGCACGTATTTAATTATTTTTTCATATTTCGTTTACTTATATTCTTACAACAATCTATATGGTACAGTAATATATAAAATGATCTTCGAATCATTTCGAAACAACTTAGGCTAAATCTTTTATACAAACGCATTTTTCATCTAAAAATGGAAACGTATCGTTAGACTTTAGATTGCAATGATCAATAAAAAGGATTGCAACAAATTCGGCTAAGTAAAAAATTAATTTCTTTTTAAGCTGTTGGCGTCCCTACGGTTATTTATTTCAGATTCAGGCACCTTTCGCTCTTTTCAAATGTACATTTTTACTTCCGTCAAGCCTCGTGTATCGTCAAACAATCATAAGTAAATCAATTTTTATTTTACATTTGAAATACTTGCAATTCCATTCCAACTATCAATGATCTACGAAAAATATTTTGAGAACGTACAGCGGAAAAATGTCGTTTTCAATTAATACAACAAAAATAATGTCAATTTCAAAAAGCTGAAAGATACCTAAGCCCGATTTTATTATGTTTTAATTTTAATTTGTTCATTCAGTCTTACTCTTTAATAAAATACGAAGTCTTATGGATGGCCCATCCATTACAGGAGCTCGAACAAAGTTTATCTCTCGATGCTCACATTCATTTTGTTTTTGCCGGCCGATTACAAAAGTAAAGTGATTCTTTTATTCATCATCCTACTTTCTCAGTTTCGCATGCAAACTATCATCGTTGGAGTTGAATTTTTTACACATTTCTGAGTTTTTTTTACGTAATGAGTTTTCACTTATCCATTTAGAGTTAAAATTAACATCACAATTGGAAAGTAATATTCGTTCGCTTGGCTTTTTAAGAATAATTATTTGTATATCGTTTATTCTTAGTTCATTCCAATGATAAAATAATCCTCGCTACGTATGAATTACGTATTATTTACAGTATATTTTCTTTCTGTTTATAAATAGAAAAAGAAACTAAAAAATTTTTACCATGATAATTTTGTATACATATAATCAAAATAATATCTATTGTATACGTGAAATATTAATTTTTAATTAAAAGAAAATACGAGGACCCGAAGACGAGGATTTTGATGTAAACTTGATAATAAAAATGTTAAATATCAACTTTATTGATCAATGACAAGAATATTATATATATATATATATATATATATGCGTGTGTATATCAAATTATTTTATGTTGGTTCAAAAACTCTAAAAAAAAAATATGAATCAATTTCATTAATAAGGGATTAAAATAATATTCAATTATTTAAATGATTAATTTTGAAACTTTTGATATAAAATGCATACGTGTATATATGTACGATTGCTATATCACAATATATTTTTTAGTACATATATTACAATATTCTTGCATGGATATATTTTTGGGTCTACGAGTGCATCGTAACTCATTATTACCTCCTTAAATGAGGTGAAATCTTATGTTTTAATTTCATTTGTTTTAAAACACGCCACCGAAGAACATAAAGTATTAATAGTTATTAAATTGATAAAAAATTGTTGATAATTATATCTTTTACACTTATATGTTGAATTTCTCTATATAGAAATTAAAAGAGAAATAAATTTTAGCATTTTGAAGAAGGAAAAATCATTAAAAGGTTATCTAATTTAATCTTTTATCCAATTAATTGATACTGAATAAGTATTCAGCGAAGTAAGAATAACAAACCTACTCTAATCTTGAAAAATATTTTTACATTTTTTGACACAATTATTACTATTTCATCTCTCTCGCTGAATAATCTTTGTCTGGAAAATAACCAAGGTAACTAATTCGTGCAGAAATAATACGAAAACAATTTCATTTCCAATTGAAAGTACATTAATTTTTATATTCATATTGTTTATTAGGAGAAATAAATTTTAATTTATTTAATGAATCGCGAATGAATCAATTGTTACACATTAGCTTTCTTTAATATCCTTTAAATAATACTTAAGTTTATATACTTAAGTATATATATATATATATATATATATATATATATAATACTCCATTCGTAAATTACACATTTTTTAATAAGTATTAAGTTAATAAATATTGCAGTCTATTTGCATTGATTTCTTTATGGCTGTTAATTCATCAACGGTTATTCATCATAAAAATAAAATGAGACCTAATTCTTGCATCAAGCAAGCATTTAAGGCATTTTATGTTTTTAATAGCGCATGCGAAGCGGCAATTTTACATGAAAAAAAAAAGTAAATAAAAAAAAATGGCTTCACGAATCGTTACCTTAGGATTTTCCAATACTAAAATAGGTATTTTCGTTAGGTAGTGTCTGCAAAAATTACGCATACAATCTAATCGACTTGCTTTCCTCGTGATTAATGCAATCAACAGCAGTATTCATCATAATATGAAATAATGAAACAAACAACAGAATACGTATTCAACATGAAGAATTGGATGTTGCTGTTGTAACTTTCAAGGTTCTCGAACGAATTTTTACTCAGATGAAAAATAACAATAAGGACTGACACGGGCCAGTTGATTACGACGCAGTGGCTGTTACTTAGCAAAGAAGTCTGTTGACATTGATAGCTGTCAAACTTCCATGTGCTTTGATTGTTGCTGCACTATGAACGGTTCACTCCACATGCGACGTAAATCTCCCTGTAAAAGTCAATTAATAAGCGCTCGTTGAAAATTGCTTGGAATGTATCGTGGGATTGTATTCTTTTACTTAATTAATCAAGCCTTGGTCGTTTGCTTTACGTCAACTTCACACAAGCGAAATGTATGTTTCGACGCGGTGAAAAAGATTTCCAATAAACGAGCCTTCATTCGACAAGGTATGTCCATGAATTAAAAATTTTTTAAAACACAATATATATCTTATAAAGATAGGCGTGTTATAAGATAAATGTTAAATTAAAATATTAACGTAGTAATTTGTTTAAATAACACCAGAGCAACATAACTAGCTTGGATATTACACGAATTGTACTTGTATGGCAATATCGCCGACAATGAGTCAACGTGTTAATCAATGAGAAAAGCAAGAAAAAAGAAAGAGAAAAACAGTAGTCGCCGAATCGGAGCATGAAGGCGAGTGTTGCGAGTGATATAAAGGGCAGGTTAAACAATAATCCGTGTGCGATTCACCTTGAGATACGCCATGGTGAGCAGAGGCAGGAGCGTGAAGGGCACGAGATAGAGCAGGGCCGGTTGTGCGGCCTTGAATACCTCGGAGCTGACGGTGGCAGTGAGCAGACCAAGGAAGTAGCCAATGAGGGAGCAGTGGAAGTAGGTGATGCGATTGAGGTGCCTCGGAGGTGGGACGCCGGTCTCGCAGCCGCCGGGCAGTGGTTGGGACTTCTTGTACGCGTCGTAGCGCAAGACGAAGCAGAGCAGAAGGCCGGGCATGACGACATCGCCGAGGCCGAGCATCGAGAAGTGGCCCGCCCGGTGCATCGAGGGAAAGACGAGTTTACCGGGCAGCGAGAGCTTCGGGGCCTCGCGGGCGACGCTCCCGCCGAGATGAAGCCTCCGTGCGACGAGGCCCACGGGGTTGTCGGCCGGTCGTGTCGCCACCTGCAATTTTTATCCTTTTAATTTACGTTGTCACAGGCGCTATCGACGCCCAAGATAGCAGCACACTCGGGGAATTTGGTACTCCCGAGACTCGAGGTACATTTAATTTCACTTGACTTGCGAGATGAATTCGAAACATTAAAATTGTCATGACAAGCTACGGGCACTCTAAATCTTTGCACTTTAACGCAAACGATGTTTGTTATTTATTGAAATGGGATTAAAAGTCATTGCGTCACGTTAGGATTCGTAAAATGATGTATATTATGATTGTTTTTTTTTTTTTTGTTTTATTGTTTTTTGTTTTCTTGTTTCTAATATAATGTATCGTAGCAATATACTTCATCGTGTCATCGATCTTGGCATAATCTACTGTTCAGTAAATGTAGGCCAAGAACCGATAGATGATGAATTTACAACCGATTTAGGACTTTCTATAATACTAAATTAGTCGAATTCCTTTGCAAACGATATAATGCATAGCTGCTGACTTTAGTTGAAAATGAAAAATAATACTGATAATAATACTACATACACAAATCTTGATGTGAATAAATATTATCATAAAGTATAGTTTGGTAAAGTTGGGGTGCATTAAAATATGTGTGGGCGGAGTAAAAATTGTTTTTGGATTAGGTATTAATACTTCATTTTATGTTTTACAAGAACAAGATAAGACCATTATTGTTAACGAATAGGTGTTTTTTTTTCTCCATAATTATTGGCTTCGCTATTTAATACACGTACAGTTTACTTTATAAAAGTATGTTAATGACAATTACGATTTTAAATAAAAATATTTACTTTCCCTTGGCTTAAAGGTTAAGGTTAATCAACACGGACGTTCGTCATAAATTTTTTTTTATCTTTTTTGGGAGAGGGGGTCGGGGTGAATTTTCTTTCCTTGTAAATATGGAAAACAAAATTTTTTTTATTTGATTTCTAAAAAGAGAAAAATAATATTTCCGCTTTTTAATTATCAGCGATATAATCAATATTATTGTTTTAGCGACTCGAAACAAGTTTGCAACGAGCACTTACGGCAAACATTTAACATGGTAAACTTTGCATATAAAAATACACGGAAATGAATAAGATGAAGTCTAAATGGCATTTAAAAAACTGATCGGATCGTCAAGAATATCGCGACAAATGCTAAAATCCAATACTTTAGAAATAAGTAAAAACTCTTCAGCTTTTAGCATCTTTTTATGCGCGATAAACAAACGGATTGCATAAAATCACTGTAAATTTAGACTTTGATCGTAAAGTAGGATTGATCGTGAATCGATAGGCGCCGAGTTATAATAAAAAAAAAAAAAAAAAAAATGCGCATACGTAATTAAAACCACTAGGTGAGCGTGGCATAAGAAAGCAAATGCTTGGGAATCGAATTTCGTTAAGAGAAAATGCAGTGAACCAATGCCGCAGCCAATGCCGGCTTCGCTCGCCTAGCCCGATTATTTATTTACCTTGACCATGACATTTGTGCTAAATATGTAAGAGGAGAAGAAAACCCAGAAGACGTCGTAGATAAGGAGTCCCGTGAGCAGGAGGGTGGAGACCTTGAGACTAGGTAGCCGCACGAAAGCTATGAAGGCGACGCAGAGGCCCATGCCCATGGCATCCATGAGGAGCCAGTGGCCGGTTAGCACCCATATGCAGACTATGCTGACGCTCAGGGAGAAGGAGAGTAGCTCGGCGCCCGTGAACCTGCCGCACACGCCAAAAGATATCTTGTTGCCGTCCGAGCATGGCCGTATTATGTATTGGCACATGGGCAGCAGGAGAAACGCCAATGCCACCGTCGCCATGACTGCGAGAGAAAGGAGAAGGACACTTTTAACGATAGCCTTCGCGCTGTTGTCAAATTTTTTGAGAGAAAACTCTATATTCTAAAAGAGTTTATCGCATATTCGAATCAACACATTTTTTTTATGAGCCGCAATAGCTATTATAAACGCTTATTTGTCATAAGGATTTACGATTAATACATACTTTAACCGCAATCATCCCGTTGATTTTTTTTCTTTTTTTTTTTTTTTTTTCCATAAATTATTGGGAATTTCGAGTGAAGAGCAATTTGTTCAGCTTCATTGTTAAGCGTAAGTCTCTCGCTCGTCCGCAATATTATCGAATACATTGGCAATTTGATTAACAACTACTTTTATTTTAATTCCCTTCCCCCTCCATCGACCATCCTGCTGCGGCCTTTTTTCATAAATTAATGATAAAAGTAACGTCACTTACGCCTTTTATTACTGCTGGCAATCTTTATCGATTCTTCCCTAACCGAGTGACCGTAGAACATTTTATTCGTGTCTATATGTGGTGCATTAAAATTTTATTGCACTTTAACTGCTTTTATAATGAAAATAACTATAATGTACTTTAATTAAAATAAAGGCTTGTTATTATTTTCATGGCGAAATTTTTTTCACGCTATAAAAAGTGGTTAAAAAATAAATACGAGAAATGTACAAATGAATACATAAAAATTCATTATGTAACAGAATAAAAGAAAGAAAAAAAGATAAAAAAAAAAAAAAGAAGAAAAAAAAATATTTTTTTTCATTAAAAGCACGTGATTAATATAAATATTTTATCTTCTGCTTTAAATCCTTTAATTTTTAAATATATTTACACATTATGCCACTATTGAAATAAGGAGTTTATAAAGTCATAAAATTATTTCTGCGTGTATTCAAATAATCTCGATACTTATACAGCTCTGTATAGAGTTACATGATATAAATTCTATGGCTCTTTGTAATCGTTTTAAATTTATATGATTATATTTACATTCTAAAAGTTTCCTAATAAAAAAAATTTAATAACCATTACATGTTATTATTCAATTAAAACTTTTTACGATCACTAACATGAGAAACCGAAAGGAGTTCAAATAAAATTTAACCATAAAAATCAGTGGTGATGAATGAATTTTATGACTACGAAAATACCATAGCGTTTTTGTTATTACAATCAAATTAACAAATTAATTTAAAGAAGAAAAAAAAAAAAAAAACCGACACAAGGCACTAAGCATAGATTATTTTACACTGATACGTGTCGATTCATACGATAATTAATTACATGTAATTTGACGTATCATTCAAATTTTATTTTAGTATAAATAAAGGATTGAGTTCTTATAATTTATAATCGCATTTATAATAATATTAATACCATTCGGTATTTTAAAGAAACTCACTTGCTGTACAAATAGCAAATAACATTTGCATACTGTCGAAGAAGAAAAACATGACAAGTAGAGATATAGAAGCACCAAGAGGTAGACAAAGAACGTGCATTGTATCTAATGTCAGAATTCCTTTTCCCGGAGGATTTTCCGAATTGGCTGTCGCGCTATTACTCGTTATCCCCGTCAGCAGATTTGCGCGCTCTTTTTCCTTTTCCCTTTCTCTCGCTTCCTGCTCCATATTTAGCGATCGAAAGCTACCGTAGACAATTAGCAGAATCGATATCAAGTATGTAGATACCTTCGATGAATCCATTATTGTGTAGGCCCTGTAAGAAACATCGAGTTAATTCAAATAACAAATGTTTAAACAAATCTGTAAATAATATCACTGAACATATTTCCTGTTAATTATGTCACGCAATCAACTAAAAATAATAAATTTATCGTATGGTATTTTTATCAATATTCATATTCCTCACCTTTGAATAATATTAAAATTTAGATAAAGATAAAAATGATTATTTTTTCAATTAACCTGTTTATTTATTACTTTTAATTTTTATAGATTAAATAGTGAAACCAAGATACGGTTATGTATTTAAAAGAAAAAAAAAAAAAAATTATATTCATTATATATATAAATAAATAAATTTTTTAAACAAGCATTATCATTAAAAATGAGATACTTTCGTGTTGTTTCAATTTTGTAAAATTAAATTAATAATTGGCTTATCATTATATCTCATAAATCTAAAGGCCAATATTTTAATAAATGATAAAATTAATTATTAAAAATAAATTCACATTTATTTTGAAAAGGTATAATCTGCATCGACAAAATTATTATGATACTTAATAATTAAAAACGTTTGTATGTATCATCCTCTCTTCTTTAACTTTGCGTTTAAGGATTTTTTCTAATTTAGCAATACTAATTTCCAAAATAAATGCTGATTAAAAATACATAAATTGTAGGAGTGACATTTAATATTCAGCTGTTTATTTTTTACTTAACAATTACCGACTGCTTTACCAATTAAATAAATAAAATTTAAAAAACAAAGTATTTTTTAAGATATTAAAAAATTCATATATTCCCTTTACTTTGATAATAATGCAAAGTCGTTTTAAAAGTATTGTAATAAATTTTTCAATATCCGTTAGAATTTTAAACTTCAGTTTAAATAAGTTAATTCATATTTCCAAACAGTATTAAAATTAAACTTTTATTTATGCGAGTCTATGTAAGAATATTTAACCTATTAAATAATAATAAGTTTATGTGCATGCGCCTGTGCGAGTTATTTATAAAAACTATGTATTATTTCAAATGGACGTCGTGAGAGATAAACCAACCACTGATAATCCACCTGATTGCTGGCCATGTTTAATAAACTCTATGGCCCTACCAGGTACCGCTATACAGTACGCCACATCTAGATGCTCTGATCTTTGTTTCTCCGTTACTTTTGACGCTACATTTGAGATCATCTACACTTGCATCTGTAATTCAAATAAAAGAGAAATTATATTGTCATGGATATTTACATATTCTGAGATGTATGACAAATAAATAATTTACCTTTTGTATGTAATGTACAGCATATCAGCAGGATTTCAAGGCCTCTTCCAATTTTTAATCAATATCTGCAAGCATTGGAATCGATAATAGTTAAAGGTCGTTTAAAGATTCAATATTTCCAGCAACCAATTTAATAATTTATGTAGGAAATAATAAACTCAAATTGCAATCATTAAATTGTTTGAAAATAAAAACTTGACGATTAAATATTTATGCTTGTAAATATTTTTATAAAATTTTATCCTCGCGTCTAATAGATTTTTTCAGTTTTCCATTGAGTTTCAATATGCATGTAAAAATTTTATATAGCCTTATGAAAATAAATAAGAAATATTTTTACATCGTTATAACTGCATAAAACTATAAATCACATATTTAAATTGATAAATTCATTATTTTTTACCATGAGTATAAAAAAGAAAAGGTAATAATGCAGTTGTTTAAATTTTATGAACTTTATAAATATACCAAAGTATTAGAAAAATTTATATTTTTCTATTTTGTTAATCTTTGTATTAAATTACAAGACAATTATTCTGAATTTTCGCACTTTTTTTTCATTACTTTGCATTATTATGATCAAACGTCAAAAGAAATTGTTTTATATATCGTTCTATTAAAGACATCAGATTCTTATTTTAAATTTGAATAAAAGTTCATCAACATAGATATCCATACTTTGCTTTTAATACTCATCAACTTCTTATCTTGCTGATTATATATGTGGACAACACATCAAATTAAATAAAAGAATATTTCACTAAACAAAGTTATCTTTGTTATTATTTGACGCTTTAAAAGTATTATCGATAATTTAAAAAAATATTGACACTGACAAGATTAGAAGAATAAATTAAGAATACATTTTTAAATAATATACTAGGATAATATATTTCATTAAAGTAAAGTGCTAAAATTTCAGTCGATGATAAATAGAAAAATTTGCTTATTAACTTATATTATGTAGCAGTGAATATATAAAAGAGCATCGAAAATAATAATAAAAAGTAACAAGGATGAAATAAACATTAATGAATTATCATTTACATTCTCTTTAATGAAACCGATGATCTTTGTTGCAACTATTGTTAAGTTAAAAATAAGCTGATGAGATTTAAAATTCACATAATAGTAGATATCAATGAGGAATATTTTAGTGCTGTTTTGCATATAATAAAAATAACCACTTGTGTCGACGAGCCAAGTGTTAAACTTTAGATCAAGACTAAAAATAATAATTTCAAATCCAGTCATAATCATACAGATACCAACAATTTTTATTAAATAAAAATGATTTCTTTTGATCAATAACAATTATGAATTAGATAAGATCGATAATTATAATGACAAAATATTCATAGTGTGAAAGGTTAAATAATCGTTGATCACTAGTAAGATTAAGCTTTTCAACTCAGGGATCATAATTATATATAAATACAATTTAATGTAACTGCAGCTTTGGTATAGTAATAATTATTGTTGTTCAGACAGTTAACGAAATCGTTCGAATTTTACAATGGAAGTTTCTTAAGCCAGAAAAACACAAATCATCTATATCAATTTTAATTTTTCGCGTGCGAAAATCTATTTAACCTATTTAGGAAATATCATTTCAGCTTGTATCCGAGGGACAACAACAAAATTACAAAGCAATCCCTACACTATTTTTCTGTTGGTTTGTTTGTTTGTTGTTTGTTTGTTTGTTTGTTTGTTTGTTTTCTTTTTGTTTTAAATCACAATATTAATCATCTTTAAATCTTAAATGGTCAAAATAGCGTGCTAATATACTTGGAAGTCGATGATCGAGTGCAATAAGGGAGGAAGTTTGAAAGAAGATCTTGAAGCTAAATAAATCATTGCGATCTTGAACTTCGAGGATAGATGTCTCAAAATAAAAATAGAAAGTGCAAATGTAATATAATGTATAAATTATTTAGTGAAGGTAAAGTGGTGAAATATATATTTACTCGATCATCAAGTTGTCCGCCCATGGAAATCCACATCCCTCGAGTCGCAAGGGAAATTTCGCACCCAATCAGTAGAAAAAGGCCGTGTACCGTAGTAAAAAGGAAAATTCTTCTTAATTCAGCAGCAGCAGCAGCAGCAGCAGCAGCAGCAGCAGCAGCAACGGTATAAACGGCATCAACGACAGCAACGGCAACGGCAACGGCAGCGTGCAGTAGTTATACGTTGTACTGACAAACGTATATATTTATAACAACCTTCCTCTCTCGCTCGGATTTTCACGCACACTGGCGCGCGCTCACGCACACGTACTTTCACCGCACCTAACTCGCTGACCGGATAACCAAGGGACGACGGTAGCAGTAAGGCAACCGAATCTCCTTGCTCGGGCTCAGCGAGCCTCTTGAATAACAACGAGCTCGCGCAGCACGAGAACGTCCTCCCCGAGGACAAAAGTTGCCGCGAGAGCTCGGGGAGAGCCGCGGCCGTGGTGGGGCTCCATTTTGGTAAACACTGAGGTCACGTGACGCGAGCCTCTTTTCTTCTATCTCCCTCCTCCTCCTCTCGTCGTCCACGGGCCACCCCAGTACGGGGGGAGCGTGCACACGTAAAGCCGTGCACCTCGAGAACTCTCGTCGGCCTCGTCAAGGCGCGAGCGCGCGCATACGGACCTACGGTCCCCCGTCCTCCTCGTCGAGACACCTTCCCCTGGAGCAGCCTCGACGTAGTGATTGCGTGCGTGAGAGAGCGCGCGCGTTATATGCCACGGTGAGAGTGAGACCGTGGGAGGGAGAGACGGGGAGAGTCGTCGGACACGGGAGAGACAAAGAGACGCCTCGCGGTGGCAATCGTTACCTACTCCGAGCAGCACGAGCAGCAGCTCCTCGTCTCGCTGGGCTCCACTGCGCGCGCCCATGCAATCTCACGGTCCCCGAGGCGGTCGAGGGCCGGACACAATCGCACATCCAACATCGGCTCCGGGCCTCGCGGCACCAGTGCTTCTCGCGGACTACGAGTATCAGCGTCTGCCCACCTCCTGCGCGAGCACCCACCGCCAATTCCTTTATATCTCGACGAGAGCCCGTGGCACCCGAGAGGGTCGGGAGGAAGAGGAAGTGGGATTCCTGCGTTCGGGATAGCGGGGCTCGCGGGCGCGCGCGCGCGCGCTCGCGTTCGTACACCCGGATAGAGGAGCTACCCACGGGGACTCGCCGTCCGAGGGAGGACGACGACGACGACGACGACGACGACGACGACGACGATAACCACGAATCTGACAGCCGATTTGGCACTTTTCTCCCTGTACAGCTTTCTCCTTTGCGATGAATACCGTCGTCTCGCGCCAGACTTTTTCCTTTTTTAGGATGACAATCCGCTGCTACGACGATTGCGTAGCGATTTGTCGCTCCAATGTCGGTCCAATGATTACACAGCCTCGCTACTAAAGCACGTCGTCTCCGAAGATCGATCCTTGTGGAGGAGTTTGGAGGAGTTCGGAGGAGTCGCTTGTTTGCTTTCGTCATCGCGCGCCTAACGCCACAATAATTAAATATCGCGCGATCTTCGCGACAGCGTAAGAATGTAATTTATGCTTTTACAGCTTTAGCGAACCATTCAGCTAATAAAATAGACATATTTATTCGCGTTGATTGATATAAATTTATAAATAGCTCGACTCCTACGACGGCATGGAAAGTTTTTACGCACTCTATGCACCTATCATAAAGTGCACTACACCTATCAGTGTTGTAAATATGATAGATAGTGTTTGCCATATAGGCGCTACGTGTGTGCGTAGATGAGATTTTTTTAATAAAGGCTTAAAAATTCTTTCGACTTCGTGTTTCTGCTTATCTCGACTTGTCTCACAATTATAAAATAGCTTCACGCGAAACGAGTTGACTGACGCGAATAAATCTTTCCTTACGTTAACGTCGTGTATCTTTTCCTCGAGCGTATTATTATTTCAATGCTTTAAACACGGTAACGAGATTACATATTTAAGAAACATTTGCCAATTCTATAAAACCTACCTATATATAATATACCTATATTAACAACATTTCAAAAATACTTCCGTCAAGTAAAATGTGCGTTCAGGCATATATTAAAAAAAATCATCCATAAGAAATCGTGATTATGTTGGGCAAAATTTGTTGAATGTAACGGATTATTATGGATATGTGCAATGCTGACAAGAATTATTGTCAACAAATACTTGTTCCATTACTTAAAACTGTTTTACACATTGAACGCGGGATAAATTGTATATATTAGTTAGGAGCGATACATGCTCGTTCGTTTTTATTATCTGAACATTTATTAATGATGTAATTTGGAGGGGAAAAGTTATCTAATTCTAAAATGCATCGTTTTTTCTTATCGTAACTCACACAATACTTATACAATATATCAATTATGATAAGGAATAATATAATATACAACAAAACATTCATATAGTCGGATATTTAAGTTTTATTCTTATATTATTGACTTCATATTTTCCGGGTCTTAGTGCTGAGCGACAAAATTTTAAATGAAAAATTATTTGGACAATTAGCGATTTATTAGCTAAAAAATCATGTCGCATGTTCATTCCGGCGTAAGAATTGATGATTTAGACAATTAATCACGCGTTAATAGCCGCTCTAACTTAAATGTGACAAGCATGATTTATAAGAAAATTATTTTTACATTAACAATCAATTCCGTCCGGCACAAACTTTTATAGATTATCAAGTGTTATTATTACCAAAGAGTATGAGACGGATGCGGGTTTCGAATTTTGATAAAATTACAGGATCGAGCTTCGTACGTGTAAAATTGAAACCGGTATAGCCCATCACTTCGTACATTTGCAATTATTTATACAATTATTTATACTTTCATGAAGAAATATATACAATTATAAGCCGCGAAGTAAATTATAATTACAAATTAGAAATAAAGCCTTATTTGGAAAAGTGTAATGCTTCATCGATAATTTTATATTAAATATATGCATACTTACAATTGTTTTAATTGTTTTTTATGTTTTTTAAAAAAAAAAAAAAAAAAAAAAAAAAAATTGAACATTCGTATGCGTTTATTTTATATGCTATACTATTTGCCGTTTACCTATATTTTTACATTCACATATACAATAAGTAAGAAATATTCCATTAAATAATAATATACATTTCAATAGATTTTAATTTATGAACAAATTAATCAAACGTAAGATCGTTCGTATGTTTATTACATAATTTTCCTTTTATGCCAATATTTTAAATATTTACAATTTTTGCCTATATTGCGTATAAACAATTATATAATTTAATATATATATATATCAATTACATTACATAATACGTTCTGTATGTATTCCTTGAACGATGAAATGCATTACACTGGCATAAGAATTTCGCTTACATATATTTGTATACAATAAGAAAAAAATCTTAAATTATATTCAAATTGTTTCATTAAGATCTAAGATCTATAAATAATAAACTCAATGTACAATTTGTGAATATTCGTAAAAATATTCGTTAGAGAATAATTGCCCTTATACCGATGAATATATTAATAATTCAATTAAAAATATTAATGAAAAATACATAATCAATTAAAATGAACAAAATCAAATAAATAAAGATAATATTAGAAAACATTTTAAAAGTTCGTCGTTCAATATATGATTTCGCTCTATAATAATTTATCACGCCAATGGAAAAAATATATTATTCTAATAGTGATAAATAAATGGAGTGATAGATATATACATATATATATATATATATATATATATATATATACATACATACATAGTTAATGCCATAATTTACATATACACACAAGCTATTCCTTAATTTGCTTATTTTATTTTGTTTATTTAATTACATTGTTATTAATTTTAAATGTAACGCATCAAAAAAATTATTTTTACTCTACTATTTAAATTAATTATATTTAAGGAATTAATTTTTGCACAGTCATACACAGCTTTTAAAACATAATTTTTGTTTAGCAATGCCTTCGATTAATTGTTAATTTTAATATTATAAATAATAGAATTTTAAATAATAATTTCCGAAAGATTCCAAGCAGTATAAGATAGCAGATAATTGATACATTGAAATTATTAAAAGCTACGCCGATCGATTTGAATTTGAAATTTAATTCATTACTGTTGATTTTTAAAAATAAAAAACCATTCTTGAAATGTTAATAAGAAAAAACCAATATTTTTATAATATTATGAATATTTCTTATAATATTTAATTATTAATACTATTATATGTACTACTACATACCTTCCGCTGCTCATTGTACTCAGAACATTTCGTACAATTTTTTTTTATTATTCATTTATAGTTTTTCTTGTTTTCTTTGTAAATCCGACTTTGCTCCTTCCGTTTATCATTTATCTTTCATCGCTTTAATTGGTCGACCGCAGTTTCTCCTCGTATAACGGGTGTTTGAAATTTTTTTTCGTACAACTTTGCATCTGTATTACTGATTTTTGCATGAGTATTAAATAGATTGATATGCAGCGTCTTCGTTAACTTTTATATAACTATGTACAAATATTATTATATTACTACAATAAAACTGATTATTCGCATAGAATAACACTTGTTAATTATAATGGAACTATTTATAATCAAATAATAAGAATCAATCTATTAATAATAATCCAACTTTGGTCAAAACATAAAGTTTAATATTTATTTTCGTTTAATAAAGATAATTCATTGATAACAAAAAAAAAAAAAAAAATAATAAAAAAAAAATAGATCTTATTAACTATAATATTATTTCTTGTAAATATAAGTGTAAATAAATTTTCATTCATTTTTTTAGGCTGGAAATATATTTCCAAATTTATTCAATCGCATATGCTTATAAAAAAATTATCTTACTGAAAACTTCATACTACTGTGATTGAAATTTTTTGTTGAATTTTTCTATAATTTTTAATATTATATTTGAAATTTGAGTAAATTGTTTGTTTAATTTAAGTCAATAATTATTAATAATTTTATAAATAATTATTATTATATTAATGATATTATAAAAACACTCATGATTTTAATTTAAGAATTGAATATATTTTAAAATATCTGATATAATCACTTTTTAACATTCAAATTTACAGAAATATATATACATATAAGTTGTTTGAATTTTAATTTACTACACTAATTGTATTTCAAAATAATATTTAAGCGAATTAAGGAAAATTCTATTTGTGTTTCATAAATATATATAATTTAGTTTATAAGTCATTTATAAAGTAAATAATTGGTTGAGAATTTATTTTACCAATATATTAAAATTCTTTTCGAATTTTATGAAATCAAAGCTTTAACAATTTTTAATATAATAATTATTGGAAAACTATTATAAAATTGTTTAAAAAAAATTAGCTTATTACAATGTGTGGCAATTAACCTTGCTCGTTTTGAAAAGTGTGAAATAAAATTGTTATTGAAATCATAAATTATAAGATTAAAATAATAAATAATGAAATTTAAATAAAATTGACCGATAACATATTCAGGAAAAACATTTTTATTATATTTCACAAGTACTTATCCCGTGAATTTAATATTACACGATTATCATTTAACACTGTAATGCTGCTCATCAATGATTGAATATTTAAAAAATTAAATTTCATCATTTTTAAATAGAAGCAATTTACTAAATTCATAATAAAATGAAATTATAAACATAGATATTCGATTATAAAGTATTTGCTTACATGTTAATATTGTAAGCTATAACGAGGAATATATAATTTGCCTTCGCTATTTCAAATTAATGTATGAAATGAAATTTCATTTTTTGGCGCTTAAGTTTTAAAAAGCTACATTTTAACGTTACGTAGTTGGTCAACTTGCTAATGCCTTTTCCAGCTTAGAGCTACGAAAATCCATAGAGTAGTTTTATTTTCAATGTATTGGAATGTAAACAGTTAAAAAGTACATTTGTTGGCTGTAGTGACAATAATATACACATACAGCTCGTATGCAAGTTCAATTCGGATTCCAGTTTAATTGACATAAAAAAAGTAGGGTTAGAATTTAATATTGTGATCGGTGCAAAGGTTTATATTATTTCTTTATATTATTATCATTTATCGTAGTTTTGTTCTAATACCAATACGTGAATAACAATTGATAAGAATTTACGGTAAGTTTGTAAGAACAATGTTAGAGAAACGATCTATATTATTAGAATGTGTAGAGCCCACTTTGATCAAATTAATTGTTTTGATTTAAGTATTTATAGTTTTTTTTAATGTTTTCATTATGTATTAAAGTATTTATTATTTTCTTTACAAACATTTGAACATTAATCGTACATGGTTATCGTAATTTTCATTCAAATTAAGTTTAAAAACAAGTAATTGTAGTATGTGCATTATACATATCATCCTAAGTCATTACTTTATCCTTTGATTTAGAATAAGAACTCATATAAATTTAATAAATATATTTAATAATATAAGATATAATAAGAATGTATTTGTTTGCAATTGAAAAAAATGAACTGAAAACTTGTTAAATTATTCTCAATTTTATTCTGCTTATCATATTAAAATTGTTTGTTGATATTTTAATTCAATAAGGGTATCGTTGCTTTTTTTTTTTTTAATCTCATTTATATCGTATTGTTTATATTAATGACAAAATTGTTTTAAAAATTAGATTTCAAGTTTTGCCGTATTTTATTGTATATTTCACTGTATATTTTATTTCGTCAGGTTATAAAATTGCTGTATTTGGTTAAAGAAATATGGCTCTTCGAACATATGGTGATAAGCCAATTAGTTTTCAAGTAGAAGAAAATGGAGAATATTATTGTATTGGCTCGGAAGTGGGTAATTACTTACGCCTTTTTCGAGGCTCGCTATATAAACGATATCCTGGCATGTTCAGGAGATCTATTACAAACGATGAAAGGAAAAAGCTTGTCGAACTTGGCCTAAGCCAACATGTTCTGGCTTCTAGCGTTTCGCTTCTCAGAGCGAGCGAAGTCGAAGATATTATTGAAGGAAACGATGACAAATATAAAGCTGTATCCGTGCATTCGACGGAGCCTCCAGCTCCAAGAGAAGGAAAAACTAAAAAATCTATGTCATGGGTACCAAGTTTACCAAATAGCTCTCATTTAGATGCAGTTCCACAAGCAACTCCCATTAATAGGAATAGGGTACATAATAAAAAAGTTCGGACTTTTCCATTATGGTACAGTAATTTTTTTCAATATTCAATTTTTCAACATATTTTACTTGGCTTTAAGTTGCTATATTTACTATTATTGCTATTTCTTGTTCTAAACTTAACATTCTTAGATAATAAAATATGATTATATTATTTTGGCTTTAGTTACGATGATACAGATCCATCAGCAAATTTAGAAAATGCATCGCGGCAAGAAATACTTGTTCCAATTCGTTTAGATATGGAAATTGAAGGACAAAAACTAAGAGACACTTTTACATGGAATAGAAATGGTTAAATTTAATTACTACTAATTTATTATTATATATAATTTATTGGGATAATATGTAATTTATATTATTATAAATGTAATTTCAGAAAGTCTTATAACACCGGAACAGTTTGCTGAAGTATTGTGCGACGATTTAGATCTCAATCCATTGACATTTGTTCCTTCTATAGCACAAGCAATACGACAACAAATCGAAGCTTTTCCACAAGAAGCAATTTTAGAAGACCAATGTGATCAACGTGTTATTATAAAATTAAATATTCATGTAGGTAATACGTCATTAGTGGATCAAGTAGAGTGGGACATGTCAGAAAAAGAAAATAATCCAGAAAAATTTGCAATGAAACTTTGTGCGGAACTTGGCCTTGGTGGAGAGTTTGTCACCGCTATTGCTTATAGGTATATTCTTTAACAGTAATTTTGAATTACTTGCATGAGTATAAATAGTTTTTCTATTTTATGCTCCATTTGGAGCAGCAATTAAACATTTGTTAAATCTATGACATTAATTTTATGAGGTTGTAATATTATTCCCTCTAAATGTGTGTATACATACACACGCGCATACTCACGCACATGCGCGCGAGAGAGAGTGAATAAGAAATAATAAAATTCTGAACTTTTCTATTTACTGAGACGGTAATTTTATCGATACATGGCAATTATAGGATATTAACATTCTATATTTTTTATTTTAGTATCGTTAAATCTGAGCTATTTTTTATACATACGGAGCTACTAAACTATCATTCATAGATTATTAATATTATTATCTTATGAGCCTTTCATATTATCGATTGGTTATTTAAAAATAACGGATATTTAACATGAAATACCTTTACAATTATAGTGTACGAGGGCAATTGTCTTGGCACCAGCGAACTTATGCATTTTCGGAAGCACCACTACCAACAGTTGAAGTACCTTTCAGACCACCTTCGGAAGCCGATATGTGGGCTCCTTTCTTAGAGACTTTAACTGATGCAGAGATGGAGAAGAAAATTCGAGATCAAGATAGAAATACTAGGTAAGATAGGTTTTCTTTAAAATCATATGTGATGTTAATATAACGGTATTGCTACAAAATTATTAATCTAATGCACTAAATTTGCATAAAAGCATTGTGCGTGGATTTATAAATACGATAATAAGCTATAAATAGATAAATTTAATGAGTAATCAGAATTTTGCAATTGATAAATATGATAACAATACTAGAACATACTAGAAAGTACTCTCTAGAAGCTAATTGAACTTCATAATTAAAATAATGAAAAGAATTTAGTAATTTGATACATATTTTGAGCAATCTTAACGGATAAATTATTTATTGAAGCAAACAAATTGCAACTTATACTTTTATACTTTTACTATACATTTATGAAAATTTACTTAAAACTACATTTCAATTTATTTTAGACGAATGCGACGGTTGGCGAACACTACACCAGGCTGGTAAAATCCCTGTAATTATAGATTAATGAAGCTTGCATTACCAGCGTTCATTAATAAATGATAGATCATTTAATTTAACGAACTACACATTGTACTTTCTGAAAAACGGCGTGTAGAATATGAATATAATTTAATATGACTACTTTGATAAGTTTTAAACAATGACAATTTAGTATTATAGTAATATGTTTAATAAAAAGAAAAAGAGGCAATCTTTTTACTCATTTGTTTTTTTTTTTAATTTTTTTATTATTATTATTATTATTATTATTATTATTATTATTATTATTATTATGTATTACGCAAGTTTATTACATTGAAGAGTAAGCATATTATTCCTCAATCAAAGACAAATAATTTTTATACATTTATAGATAAATCATATAATTGCAAAAGAAAATTCTATTTTGTTAATTTTATACTTAATAAGTGGATCGTGTGTAGGAAAAATTTCATAGCCATTAAATAAGTTGAAAATAATTTTTTTCCTTTAGTATTTGAAGTTTTTTTAAATACAAAGTTGTTTCATCCTGTACGTTATATGTAATTAGATTTTTTGAAGAAAATGAATGAAAAAAAATGCTTAGCATGTATGATAAAGAAAGAAATTTTTATATGAATAATTTGAGTAAGATATTGAATAAAATGGACAAATTTAATGTAAACAAATAAAAAAATGATAATAAAAGCTGCATTTTAAGTTATTTAATAAAATTTTTCTTTTATTCACATTCTAAAAGCCTGAGAACAAAGTTTTTTTTATCGTGACACATAGAAAATTACATTAATTATAATGAAAATAAAAACAACTATCGATTCTTTATTGCAAGTCTTTAGCATTTAATGGTAGACCAACTATAAAATGTAAATGTTTTGTATACGCAAAAATATCAGCATGAGAGAATATTAAAAATGTATATTAAAATATATATTATTAAATATAATTATTTATTAATTATTTTAATGAAAATAAAAAGTATTTACATATTTGCCAATATTTTCTAATATTTTCTATGAAAAACTTGTATAAAGACAACGATACCTGTACATTATATTTCAGAATAAAATTAATTGAGCAATAATTTAACGCTTTATTTGCACGAAAGTTTGAAATATAAAATTTGATCTACTACTTACAGCAAATAAAACCTATTTTCCTATTATAAATAAGGAGTAAATAAGTTGATATTGAATAGCATATAAATAACTTTCCCTTATTAAATAAACCCTATTGTAATAATAGCTATATATTTATATCGACTAACCCTTCAAAGAAAAGATATTTTTCCGATAATCCATTTTTCTATTATACAAGTAAAAAATATCAAATTAATCAATTACTAATATCAACTTTAAGTGTAGTGTATGTTTAAACGAAATTAATAGCGAGTGTATTTCTTCCAAGTTCAAGCTCAATTTCAATTAAGATTTTTTAAATATTACAGGTAAATACTATATTTTCTATTCCAATTTACTTATAAAATGGATTAAAATAAAGATTAATTTGACATTTTGAATAACGTTTGTCATGAAATCTAAAAACCTTTTTTCCCCCCCCCCCCCACCCCCCACCCCTCCTCCCCACGCCATACTCAAACAAAATGTGAAATACCTTTTTTCTTCTTTGAAATGGGCATAAAATGTAAAAGTGTATAATGATTTACATGGAAATGGCTTTTCCACGTAATTGTAGCCATTATCTCTGCTTATAATGAGAGGTAAAGTAGGCATAGGTCAACAGGCAAATATGCAAGCAAGTAAACATATATACCTGCGTGCTTGGTAAATGAAATTTTAATTTTGCACAACATTGTACGCGTTCTATCGTGTCAAAAACTACAAGTCTAGATTATTAGACCAACAGACTATGCATAGTACAATTTTGCCAATTATAATTTTACATCGCATTATCATTGTTAAAATCCTCTCATTTTTATCGATTCTTATGAATTATAGGGGAATTATATCGCGATCGCTTGCGCAATTAAACGGGAATTTGTTAACTATCGAGTCCAACGGGTTGATGAAACAGGCATCCCAATCACGATATCTGAAGTTCCGAGAAAACTCGCGTCTCTCTCTCTCTCTCTCTCTCTCTCTCTATATATATATATATATATATATATATATATATATATATATATATATATATATATATAATAATTCCAAGATCCCGTTAAACTATGCACCGGTATACTATTAGTAGGAGCAAACGAATGTTAATAAATAAACGAGTTTGATCGACGAAATAATCCAGCGACGTAAGTAAATAATCTCTTGGGGTATTTATTTTCGCATGAAAAGGTCCTTGAAAATGAGATTAGATAACAAATCGTTCGAAGCGCCGAAGCTGTGCCGGAGACTCGCGATTCATACGCTAAAACAGTAGCAGACAATGGGACAGAGGTCCGTCCGAGAGGACGCGAAACTCACGGAGGTGCCGCCACCCCAAAGCCTCAACCGATCCAGCGGGACAAACGCACAATACCAATGCGAACGGGAGACGTCCGCGGCCGAGTCCATCGGAGCGCCGGCGTCGAGGCTGGAGGGGAGCGATAGCCGAACGCAGTCGAGGAAGGGGCACTTATAGCCCCTTAGATAGGTAGATAGATAGCCGTCATCCGTCGGGCAGCATGACTCCACGTAGTTAGTACGAAAAGGCCAGCTGTTGGTGGCTGGCTAAAACGCGTCACCGGGATCACGCGGCGCCTTCCACGCTCCAAGAGTCTCACTTCGTCTCGACACGCCACGCCACCCCACGCCACCCCACGCCACCCCACGCCTCGTCACCTCACCGCACCTCGTCCCACCTCGCCCTAAGCCAAGCTACGCCACGCCACGCCACGCCACGCCACGCCACGCCACGCCACGCTACGCCACGCCACGCCACGCCACGTTACGCCACGCCACGCCACACCACGCAACACCACATCGCGTCCCGCCCGGAGGCCCCTTGGACCGCGAGCTCGATCGCGCGATCCACGCGCAGCTACCAATGATACGGACAGGCCGACGAAGCGCGTGGATTTAGCGGCACGGAGAGAGCGCGTGTGCGGACTTGCGCGAGTATATAGAGCGCACGCGGTCACAAGGTCGCGGTGACCGAGGCTGCCGAGGACAGCCAGGAAAGAGATAGATAGATAGATAGATAGATAGAGAGAGAGAGAGAGAGAGAGAGAGAGAGAGAGAGAGAGACAGAGAGATCAACGATGGACGTGGCCAGGCTGGTTATGATGGGGCAGGCACTGACATCCGCGAGGGAGGAGGACGGCCGGCAGGCTTTTCCCGGGCGACCCTGGATGCGAGAGAAGGGTCTGGCTTCCGGGACTGCGAGCAACGTCGGCCTCAAGGGCATCGTTGCCGGTGAGTTGTCGCGCGACGCCCGCGTCGAAGCTCGCGTCTCCTAAGTTAGCAAAACGACACCGAGGCGGCATTTTCATCGCGGGCACGTCGTCTGCTAAGCCCCTGCCTCGGATTATAACTATGGTATTTAGAAATGGCAGCTTCTTCCCGAGCCCTTCCATTGCATTCTAGCAACGTGTACCAGCCACTGTTTTATATTTCTCCTCTTACCCCACTCCATCGCCCCCTTCTCCTCCTTCTCCGCCACCTCATCCTTCACCTCATCCTCATTCTCTTCTTCGTCTTTCGCCTTTAATCATTCATCGTGACGTGAACAGTAAAAATGTGCGCGGCTTTAAATTAAAAGCCGAGTCTTGTTTTAAGCACGTCGCGTCTGGATCGAATTTTCTTTTTTCGAATTTCTCATCAAGTACGCCTGAAATGCCAATCAATTGCGTTATCGTTTACAGTATTGTATTAATCGAATCGGCTTTCATTGCTTCTCACAATATATACGCGAATATATCAGAAGAGTGCAAAAAATATCAATTCTCAATTCGATTATCTTTATTCTATACGATATGAGTATGAGATTGACAAACAGATAGACAGAGAGAGAGAGAGAGAGAGAGATAGAGTGTGTTGCGTATGTGCATATGTGTGATAATTTTTTTAAATATTTCAGGGACAAACTTGCTTGAATAGTTGTATCTACGCTTTCGTTCTTACCGAGTAATATAATAATAATAATACGTGGGCATTTTACATATCGATCGAAGCACAATCATTATAGTTTCAAACAATCTGTTTAAGCAATTTCACATTTATATATATATATATATATAGTTCAAAATTATATTTTGAACAATGTCGTGGCACAATAGCAAACTTTCGACCAATGTTCAACACTTATTAAATAAAATGTAAAAAATATAGCGATGGAAAATTTCGTAGTATACGTAATTTTTAATTAAAGTCCAATTGTACATAATAATTTCTAATCAATTTAAAAATAGCATTGAATTTGATAAAAAAAAAAAAATTTAACATCAGAGTTACAGCATGAAATACATCGATTTTTATTTCAGTGAATTTAACTTTATTTGGAGCCATAAAATTACTTTCGTCTTAATAAAAATTTGCATGGTCGTAATTTTAGATTAGATTATACGTTGAGGATATTATCAAGAAAGACAATTTTTCGATTAAAAATTGGCGAAAATCAACGTCAATTTTTCTAAGTAAAAACTGACTACAAAATCTTTTGGGGAAAAAGTTTTCGTTTCAAAAGAAATTTTTAATTTTCACTTGTACAATTTGCTTTTGCATAATTTATTACATTGTATTTTATATAAATATTATATTATTGTCATTATTGTCATTATTATTTACATGTTATTTGTTCAAAGTTATAGGGCATCTCTGACGGACAATTAAAATGTTATTATTATAGCTATACATTTGTAATTCAATAGTCGATTAATTAATTTTTTTTTTTTTTTTTTTTTTTAATTCGATTTTTTATCAACAGATTTTTTTATAATTTTTATATTTTTTTTCATTTTTTATTATTAGTTTTCGTGATTTTTCTACACGTTTATAAAGCATATATATACAATGTAAATATTCTTATTGGAATTACAGATTTATATCCTCTAGTTAACTTGAAAGAACAAATATTTCTTATTAATTTTATTTAAAATTTGTAATTAAATTTTTATCTTGGAAGGTAATTGCTCTATATATTTTATCTTATTATTTATTCTTATTATGATGATAATTATAATCATAATAATTAACAATTGCTATTTTTTAACGAATACTATAAATATATAAGTGTAATAAGGCGAATTGTATTCTTTTTTATTTAGTTATATCGTAGTATAAGCACAAAGGGAAATTAAAAATATAAAAAAAAAAAATTTTTTGTAAATATTTTTTATTGAAATAATAAATCCTATATTTATTGTAAGCACTCGGTAAATAATAAACTTTGAAAATAATTGCCATTATTTACTACGTACGTTTTAATCGATATTTCTGTTTTATAATAAACAATATATAGCGAAAAATAATTAATTAATTCATGCACGAGTATTTAAAGTCTATAAACATTGAGTTTTTCAATATAATTTGAATTAAGGCAACGTTGAGCTAGTTGATCGCTTGTCTCGAACATATTAATTTCTTAATTAAATTAAGCATACTTTACAATTTGATGCCTAGCATTAGCTTAATTAATTATTAGTAAATTTGACGAGGGAATGTGCTCCACCGCGTTTTAATATCAGAGACGAAATCTGTAATTCAATAATAGACGTAATCCGATATTAAGAAGTATCATTGCATTTTATTTCTTTAGATTTTGCTTGTAAGCAGCCAAATTGTATTACCCATTCAGAGAAATAAAAATAATCTGGAATATCAATAAAAAAATAAAAAAGTTAATGTTAACAAGCTTAAAAAATCAACAGTTTACAAAAGAAATAGAAGATAATTGTATTACAGCGGTTATTTCTGAGTTATACTATATATAGTTGGGTACAGCATATGTATTTAATTAACTTATACAAATGCAAATAGCTGCCCCTGTCGTTGATCACAAATTCTTTTGTATCAACTTTGAATATATTATTGCAAGGAGATGAAAAATGGCTTTTAACTTTTAAAAACTACATAAATCTTTATCAAAATGTGAATACAACGTATTTAAATCATTGTAACTATATATTTTTATAATAAATTAAGATTTATAAGAATTTATACTTTAAAACAAAAACAAAACAAAAAAAAAACAAAAAAAAAAACAAAAAAGTTGCAATTATTATTGTTAAATTTAGAGTTCGGTACGCATGATATTTTGTTTTAAATTTTATATTTTTCTTGCATGCATATACTTACAAAAAATATAGTCACTATTCTTTTATTAAGAACATTTATAATTTAACGTAAGAGAAATAAATTATTTTATATATCTATTTATTTGCCGTTCCGAATGATTTTTATTTAATTCTAATTTTTCATCTATTCGCTATCATTGCAAATTCACTTTACATATATTTTTATACGTACATGAATATATTCCAATGTAGTTGTCTTTGATAATACAGTGTATATCACTTACACAATAAGTTATGTCAATGTTTGTCAAGTATTGAGAGATGAGATAATGATTACTTGTTTGTTAAATTATTATTATTATATTATTAAAAAAAATTTAATCCATTTATCAATATTTATTTGTTATATAAGTTGAGTATGTTATCTCATAAATGAACTGTATAAACTATACAAAAATGTTACCTTACAAATTCTTCCACTGTACCTATAAAGTACTGTACTGTAAATAAATATTTTAAACATTATCCGAAGCTACGTGTATAATTAAAAAAAAAAAAAAAAAAACATATCTTTATAAGATAAAAATAAATTATTAAAATTATTAATATATCACTTGTCGTAGGATCTTTATCAGTGCATTGAAGTATTTCAATTAATAAAATACTTAATGAATAATGTCGGTCATAATGTAAATGTATAATGTCTCGTGTTCTATGCCTGAACAGTTATCAATGCTTCTGTTTTTCTTCTGTTACTTTCAAAAGTTACGTGAAAGGTAAGGTCGTCTTGGTAGTTGTAGGTTTAATAAATTTATATGTGCAATTTATTGAAATTTATTTAATAATATAAATTATAGGTGATTTTAACGTTGGCTTTCTCTCTCTCTCTCTCTCTCTCTCTCTCTCTCGTTACGTATTAGTTTCTTTACGAGTTGAATGATGTATTAGTAGGTGATTGAAAGCAGCTACTGTTAGCTTTATAATATTAAATTTATAATTTTGAGAAATTACATTTTCTTCTATATTACATTTTCCATGAAGACTTTATGATAGAAACTTCAGAAATTTAGCTTACATTTACACTTGATTAACTTAAATAACTGCTTAATATTTATTATTTCTCATATAATATTTATATAATTAAACTTTAATTTATAACGCTTTAATACATAAATTTTTTAATTACTTATTTCATTTAAATTATACAACGTAAATGTTAATACCTATCTTATTTTTTCAAATGAATTTTAGGTTAAAAATATTTGGATAAATTTTTAATTTAACAAATTTTAACCAACTACTTTAATTACGTTTATTACAATTTTTATTTATTTTAAAGAAACATTATCAATGAAATCTTTCAAAAAATATACAATATATTAATAATGAAACAAAAAAAAACTTCTTTACAGAATTTATATTTCATAAATGTGGGTATAAATGAGATAAAAAATGAATATAATATATATATATTTTTTTTTTATATTATAAGAAATCCTTCGGGATAACTATTTGTTAATCATTTTCTCTGTACGATTTTATTTTACTTTCCTGATTTTTAAAAAATATTTCTTTTAAACTTTTGACACGAGAATGCAACAGTTATGTATTTACAATGTACTTACGTAACTTCAAAAAACTTTTATTTGCGTTCAATTTACGTTAAATTATATTAACAATATACCAACTTCACTGTATTTGAAAAGAATTTAAAAATATTAAGTATCATGTTTAACATTGAATAGAGCTGACTTGAGAAAATATATTCTATATATATATATATATATATGTACGCGAACGTTCTAGCGGTATTTTAATATTGCAGGTATTGCAATTAAAATAACTATCTTATAATTTTAATCGTGCTAATTTAATAAATTTTTGTTAATTTATATGTTTCTTATTTTTATTGCTTTTTTTTTTTTTTTTTTTTTTTTTTTTTTTTTCAATACAATTATTATTTACAGCAACAAAACAATTAAAATGAATATTCTGATGAACAAATCTAAATAGTATGTATATTTAGAATGCAAATTGATTTGCTCTTTTCATATTCAAGTAATTTAATATTGTTTATATGTAACATTTCTTTTGTTTAATATAAAAATAAAATATAACCGTAATTCTTATTCTTTATATAATGAAAACAACTTTTATTCTATTTAATTTATATAAAAGTTAGATTTTAATGTATTATTATTCGTATAAAAATAGTACTGTTGCTTCGAAAGATTTTATATAGAATACATTTTATGAAATTGTTTATATATATATATATATATATATATATATTTTGTTTTTCTTCTTGTTTGTAACTAAATTGTATTGTTTAATTTATACTTTAATTATTATTTAGAGGATTTAAAACAAAATAAAAAACCCATAATTCGATTTCAATATTTTGGTTATTATTATTGGGAATTGATTAGGAAATGCCTCACTATCAGTAATGAATCCCACAAAGTATTACTCAGTTTTTGATAAATAATATATATTCTTTTTTCTTCTTTTTTTTTTTAAGGTGGTATCACAGGAGGTATTGAAATTTGTATTACATATCCTACCGAATATGTTAAGACTCAGCTCCAACTCGATGGGAAATCTGGTGCTAGTAAACAATATAAAGGCATTTTTGATTGTGTCAAAAAAACTGTAAATAACCATGGCTTTTCTGGACTATACAGAGGATTGTCAGTTCTAATTTATGGTTCGATACCAAAATCTGCTGTTAGATTTGGCTCATTTGAGAGTGTGAAGAAACAGCTTGCGGATGCAGATGGGAAATTAAATGCCCAGACTCGCTTACTTTCTGGACTTAGTGCTGGTGTTTGCGAAGCTATTTTTGCTGTTACTCCTATGGAAACTATCAAAGTAAAATTTATTAACGATCAACGATCCAGTAATCCCAAGTTCAGAGGATTCTTTCATGGTGTTAGTCACATTGTCAAAGAAAATGGTAGAGTATGATTATAATGTACAGAAATTAATTTTCCTTTCATTAATAACATGATAGCTCTAGATAATTCAGAGTGTAATTTCTATACATAATAAGTTTTTAAATAAATAATAAGAATCCTGGCTAGATGATACTTTTAATCTTCTGTAATATAATAATTTATTTTCATTTTAAAAATAATTTATATTCTATTATTATTTTTGTACTATAAAAAGAATTCAAAATACATATCTACATTCATTATTCGATTATGTTTTTGAAACACCTTATTTACATATTACATAAAAATTCTAAATTTGTAAATATCTTTTGGCCTTTTTAAATTTTAGGCCTTAGAGGAATATATCAAGGCTTGACACCAACAATAATAAAACAAGGTTCCAATCAAGCCATTCGATTTTTTGTAATGGAATCTTTAAAAGAATGGTACAAAGGGGGAGACAATAATAAACACGTTCCTAAATTAGTTGTCGGTGCCTTTGGTGCAGTAGCGGGAGCCGCGTCGGTCTATGGAAACACACCTATTGATGTTATAAAAACAAGAATGCAGGTTTGTAAATCCTTGTATATTAAAATTCATATAAATCTTAATTTCTGGCTATTAAAATCGAAGACTTTTATTATAGTAAGAAAGAATTTTAAACCATGCAAGCTTAATACTTATAATATACAATTTTCATAAAAAATATATTATTCTTAAAAAGTAATGTAAATTTCGAAAAGAAGAAAATTGATTCAAAAAAAAAAAAAAAAAAAAAAAGAAGAAGAAGAAGAAAAAAACAGAAAAAACAAATTAACCAATCGCTATGTTTCTTTTACATCTTCAACTTATTAAATTCTAAATTTCTTAACCTTTTTGAAGAATAAATTAATGATCCTAAGATAATCTTACCGTTGATGGGCAACATTGCATAAAAAATGTTTTATTTTACTTTTATGTTTAATTAAAGCAGCCGGCTTATACGTTTAATATGATTTCAAAATTTTTATTAAATGTTTTGTGTATTTTCTAGGGACTTGAAGCTGCCAAGTATAAAAGTAGTTGGGATTGTGCAGTGCAAGTATGGAAAAATGAAGGTCCTACGGCGTTTTACAAAGGAACAATACCTAGATTAAGTAGAGTTTGTTTGGATGTTGGTATAACCTTCATGATCTATGATTCCTTTATGGAATTCTTCAACAAAGTCTGGCCTTAGAAATAATTTCATACGGAATTCATTTTCCAACATGATTGTTCAGAGTGTTATCTCATAATTCAATAACATCTGAAATTTATGTGCCTACACCAGGTATAGCAAATAAAGAACTGAATTACGAGCTTTAATAGAAATGAATTTTAAATGACAACCATACACAATATGGTACAGATTTTATTATTAATGAATTATGTGCCATTATCTGGAAATTTTTTAATTTTTCCCAATTAAGTATCAAATTAATTTTGATAATAATAGTTAAGTTATCTCTTGTGTGTTGTTAACACTAATTAGTATAATTAATAACATAAATAATTGTCCTGATTCGTTTCGAAGCAGAGTTTCAATTTGCTTATTATATACAAATGATGATTGTTAAATTACTTTCAAAAATGACATAAGGAAGATTACTTTATAAATAAAAGAAGATTTATTATTATTTTTTTTTACAATGCTCGAACTATACGATATCGTTAAAATAGTAAAATAATTGTTTGCATATATTTAAATATTTTATAGTCGGTATGGTATGGATAAGGGAAATTGTCACAGGATGGATGTATTTTTATTAATTTTTAACAATAAGTTAAGTATTGAAGAAGAAAAGAAATTAAATCAGTCGTTAATGTTTCATATATAATATAAAGTAGTTTTATATTTTTTAAAAAAATGTAAAGCCTTTTTATGCATAAATAATTGATATTTTCTAACCTCTATTAAAAAAAAAAAATTCCGTTTAATTACATCCGCAAAATTAAACATTTTATATTTAATAGAGTGATAAAGATCGAACTTTTTTCACGTTTGTTGATAAATGCCACGTGTTATATCTTTATATGTATTTATGACGTATAACGCTTTTAAGCAATGAAAATGATACGTGTAGATATAATATTTATAGAAATAGCGGATTTTAATGATCAAAGTAAATTGTAGTTATGAAAACGAACTGTTTTACTTTTTTCATATTTTTAACGACATTTATAACGAGCTAGGAAATATTAGAAATTTATACAGACTTTCAATATTATAAGAAATTAATCATTCCATTGCCAATTTACTAAGAAATTTTTCTATTAGATTTTCGTAATTCTCTAACAACTCGATTATCATAAAAGTGAATTTTTCATGACATTTATCTATTTATAGTTTGTTAGCAAATTTTTACAATACTTAACATTCCGGGATTAATTCATAAGAGAATTTATATATGTATATTTGCACTTGATAGGGCACATATTTGTTTTTATTGTATCGTTTTATCCATTGTTAATTAATTTTGCGTAATTTATTGAACTCGAGATATGTATTATATATGACGAAAATTATATTACTTAATATGTTGTAATCTTGTTTAAAATTTTTTTTTTTTTCTATATACTTACGATATGTTTTTCTTTAATCTTTTAAGAATATATTTATCATTATTAATTAAATAAGTGAGAACAAAATGAAATTCTGTAATTGCGATATAAAATAATGAATTTATCGAATGTAAAGGAAATGCGAAAGCTTTATACTATGTTCTTTAAAAAATATCGAAGTACGAGATCTGAATATTATGTTTTTAATTATGTATGTACTTGAGATACAAATTTATACAAGCATTTTTTAAAGTATGCATTTTAAGAACTTTTAAAGATAAATTATAAACGGGACCCATTTATGTATAAAATAAAATGGGGTGTAAAAATAGATCCTTTACGTTTTTCTTTTAAGTTCGCATTAACAATTTATATAAACAATCTCACATATATCATATTATTTTTAACTATTTCTATAGATACACACTTGAATACGCACCGCACACATGCATTGATAAAATGATTTAATAATCTAATATATATATATATATATAAGTCAAAAAGGTGTGTGAAATAAATTTCTTTTGTATATAAAAATTAAAAGAGAAACGTACAAATCATGCTATAAAAATTTATATAAACTTCATTCTTATTTTGGCCAATGTGATATATGAAAAAATATAAATATGTGTATACGTTCACATACTTATACATAGTTGAAGGTACTTGGAAGTTTAAAAAATATTTCAATTTAATTTTTACAATAAATTAAAAATTTTAAATACGTTGCGTATATTTCAGATTTTAACGTAACACTTTTCGAAGTGGAAGATTTAAGTAGAATGTATGGATTGAAAATGTATAAATTACGAAAATGACATTTTTTAACCGAATGTAATTAATAAAATGTATAAAATAAATATATTAATTGGGTTGAAAATAAAAAAAAATTTTTTAATTATTAAATAAGTTTGATATTTACTATCATGAAACTATTATGTTTTTCATTCCAATAAACAGCGGCTATCAATTTATTATACATATTCTTTAAAATAAAATTAGTTTTATTATATCAATTTTTTTTTTTTCTTTTCAAAGCAATAGATAAAATTATAGCAATATATACAATTATCCTATTAATTTGTTCATAATTTGATATATAATTTTAAAAATAGAACAAAATTTCTATTGTAGATTTCTATAAAATTAATAGATAGATTTTTTTTTTTTTCTATAAAACAAATAGATGCTATATATTGTTGAATAACGTATCTTCGAGTTATAAGAACAATTACAATTAACTTATGAGTTTTATTATAATTATATTATATCACTACTTATGCAAATAATTATCTTTATACTTTTATTTTATAAAATTAGCTACCCATAATTTTTAGGATTAATTTGTATTTTTAAATGTTAAAAATTCTTTATATGAAACTCTATTATCCATGTATTAAATAATTAAAAAATGACTCTTTAAATATTATTTAATAATATTTTTTGGAATGCATATATATTCTTTTTATTTAGTAATTATTCCATGACACGCGTTGATTCTATATTGATAATATTATGCATCATAGCTCGTTTTATTTTTGTCATTTTAAGCAATCTTTATAATATTATTTGCATTTATTTTTAATATTATTTTAATATTTATATCGATAGTTGTATAAGAAATCAAATCTGTTGGTAAAACTATTCGAATAATCATATGTATAATAAAAAAATTATTTCAATCCACTTGTGTAATTTATCGGTTATGAATTTTGCTGCCATTTTTCGATTGGTTTTTTTTTTTTTTTTTTTGTAGTAATTAGGTACGTTGATATGTTGCTATTATACTCTTTGCGCATTGATGCATTGATCGAGTACTTTCAAATTAAAATAATGGAATATGCTTCCTAGCACACTGTTGCACCACATTCAGATTTTTTTGTTTCTATTCTGATGTGCAGTGCTTGAAATTTAATATTTATATTTACATGAAAGTAAATTGTATAATAAACTGAGACAAAATTTTTTCACTCTAGCAAATTTCAGTTATTAGTCACAAATGAAATCTCTCTACAAGAATATGAAATTATTTAATTACGTCCAAATATATATATATATATATATATATATATATATAATCAATTAAGATAGATACAAGTACTTATATGAAGGTTGGAACATCAAAACATAATGCTTTTTAAAATATTAATATTAAACGAAATATTTTATATTCAAGAATATTTAGATAAAATGTTCAGAAGCAGATGTATTTAAGTAAATCCTCATTCATTATGAGCTATGGATATTGAGAAATAACACGGACTTGTACATAATGACTTATGTGTTTAAACTCGTTCCTACAGACATTCGGAAATTTCCTTTCACATATATTTTCAAAATTCTTGAAAAACAGGCATTTTAAACGAGTTTAGGCATGACGTTAGGTAATAATAATTTCTATTATTTTTATCAAGGTTTACAGGATATTATCAAGTATATTAGGCTTTATGAGTACATTTAAGAATCAGTATTATGTTACATCCGAATTCTTTTGTAGAAAGGCTAGAAACTTTCGTTACATTCTCATTTTAGAATGACAAATATTTATAAATTACTGATTTTCAAAAACATTTATAATTCCATTTCTCGATGTTGATTATGCATCGACAGCAGTTTTATATTTCATGTACTTTGCGACTTCTCATTGTATATTTGTACAGGCTTTTGTGTATAATTTGTAGACAGTAGTACACGTCTTAACAGGAAACATTGGATAATTTGCAAGACCGTAGAAAGTTTAATGTTTACTTCGAACAGGAACAGGAAGAGTTTTGTCAGAGCATCCCGCATAGAGGGGTACAGAAAATAATGGGTAATAAAATTTTAATGCTCTGTCTCAACCATTAGCAATTTTAGCAATTCACAGATTTGAACATAAAAATATTTAAGTGACGTTATTTGAAAAGCAATACTATTAATTGATCGAACATTTTAATGAAAATTTGTCTAATGGCTAAATTGCCTTTTAATTTAGTTAATAATGTGAATTAGAAATGTTGCAGCCAATTTAAAATTTAAGAAAAACAATGAAATCATTTAACGTGACGATGAAAGCAATTTTTGCGTATCTGCATTAATAGAAATATTTTAATGTTCTGTTCTTAAATTAATCGTATGTTAAATGAAATTTCATTTATCTGCATATTTTAATAAAATTTTTTAATCTATATATTCAATAAATTTTGAATAATAATGTTTATTAAGAAATCACATTTATCACAGTTTCGATCACAGTAAATATTTTGTAATTTTGTTTCTTAATTATCAATATATATTTACATAAATTTTTTAATATTTTTTAGGTAAAACAAATGTTGCTAATGACATTATTTTCCAGATGATTTCATAATTATTTTAGAAATTTAATACTATATCTGCCTGAAATGATTATAACATATTTTCCAATATTTCTTGAACAATTTCAAAAAGCTAAATTGTATACCATAATGAAAATTACACAACCACGACATAACATCAAATTTAAAACGAAAATTATAATTATATCTTTATAATTATTCAATAAAATAAATTTTAATATTTAAATCCAGCTGAAACACTGTATAATTAGTTTTGTAAAAAAAAACTTTTGATTTGTATTAAAAATATTAAAATGTCTTTAAAGGGTTTACGCGTCAAAAATATATATCAGTTTTAGTTTGAGAACATTTCATGTATTTTTTATGACATACTTTATACTTGTATAAAAGATTAAAATATCTATCTTCCATTACTTTTAATAAAAAATTTTCTAGATTTTTTATTGAACAATATATCTGTTTCTCTCTCTCAACCCCTTTTTTTTTTTTTTTTTTTTTTTTTTTTTTTAACAATCGATCATAAATATGTTTATTTAGATTTTCTATTTAAGCTTAACATAGATTGTGTATTAATACACAGTGTTGGTTAATTTGAATAAATGAATTCGATCGATATTGTAAAAATTATTAAATTATCAAATTATGAAAGTGCTATATCAGAAGATCGATCATAACCATAATTTTATTATTTTTGAAACGTATTTATTTATTACTTTTATTACTTCTACATTTTTACTAGGAGGTATCTAGAGAATTATCGTTATTTTTTTTATTATTTTTTTTTTTTTTTTTTTAAAAATTAAAATTTGTATTATTGAAGTATATTTATAATATTTGGAAAATTATGAGATCGAAGAGATTGAATTGATTGATTTAATTAGTAATTTAATTAGAACGTCACTGAGGCGTAAATTTATATTTTTTTTTTTAAATTAGAGATTTTAATTGATTAGAGATATTTGAGAGAATGTCTTGTAATTATAGATATGTCGACAAATGAATATTCTAGGATTTAGCAAGGCATAAAAGACGTTAAATTTTAATTTTTAATGAATAAATAATAATGAAGCAACGTAAGCGAGCATAACGTCTTGTCTCGTTTTAAGTGGCATTATAATTTTTAATTTAACTTAATTATTGCGTAGATAATGTAAAAGCATTCTACGTACTCAGTATATGTATTTATGAATATGTAAAATAAACATAAAGCATGCGATATTTATAATAACTGCTTTAGATTTAGCAGTAATAATAAATAAATGTTGGTATAAATTATAAAAATTTTGATAAAAGTAGGAAGAGATGTGTAGGATTTTATATAGCGGTATTAGATAAGGGACATTGATTTACAATAACTAACTAAAATATACATTTTTTAAAATTTCGTTACACTTTAGTAATAATTTCATTCAATGATCAGATTATATGAAAAAAAAAGAAAAAAAAAAAGATAAACCATTAGTTTTCGATTTTATTTATTAAAAAATTTTTATGTGAAGTAGTAAATTATGAAGATCTACTCGCTTGTCGCTTATTAGTTGTATTTTTGGACTTAATATTCGTTAACAATATTATAATATTAGGAATAATCAAATAATAAATGATAATTACTAATTTTTTTTATTAGTTATTCTTGCGAAAGTACTTACCAACGCTAAATCATATCATTATAAAATGATAATATCATAGGTAAGAGTATTATGATTGTTTGTAGAAAAATATAACTTTTTTTATTTAAATGTGAAAAAAGGTGGTGATCGGTATGCTATGAAAATTTTTAGTATTATAATAATTTTTTAATATGCGATTATAATCTCATGATTGTTATTGTAAAGAAGTACGATAAGTTTTAGTGAAAAGACTATCAAATTTATAAGATATGATCTCGTATACAATTATTGTAGTTTGATAAGCGATTTTGTGAATTCAATTTTTTTTTTTTTTTTTGTTAAACCTAAACTTTAATAATCTCTGATATGAATTTTTACATTATATTCTTTTTAAATTATTATGTTTTACAGTTTTTTTGGAATTTATATACGAGCGTAATCAATTTATCAGCGCTCACAAATAAATTTCGCATTTCGTAGATTATGCTAACAATAGAAGATTGAAGTATATTTAAGCGTTGCACAATACAATTTAGGAGTATTTATAAAAGTCGTATAAAAAATTTTTTTTTTAATTACAAAAGCAAATATTCTAGCAGTGGTGTCGGTACGGCTATGTGCGTAAAGTAGATAAATATTGATAATTGATGTAAAAAGAAAAATGACTAAAGCATTCGTTTAAATTTTTTGTAATATAAAAAAAAAAAAAAAAAAAAAAAAAAAAAAAAAATAAAAATAAAAATAAAAAATGGGGGTTTGGAAGTTGACATTGATTTAATTATTTATTTAAATAATGTAATTTATAACAATAGGAGTCTATAATTCAGTCGGTAAAGCAGCGTAACAATACGAAGTCTGCTTTAGAAAATAAAACAAGTCTATTTAGACGTAGATGGTGACATTGGAAATATTGTAATAATTTACATAAATAAGCTAAACAATGGAATTGATTGTCATTTAAATCTTTTAGTTTAATTGCAATATTTTATCGAGCGAATGCAAATTCGTCAATTCCAGGAAAATAAGGGCGCGCGCTCGTACCAACATATGCAATTGCGAGTATTATGCATAGAGAGGGAGGGAGAGCGAGAGCGAGAGCGAGAGTGGTGTTTTGAGTCCTTATACGAGGAGTGAAAGAGAGTGAGTGAGCGAGAGAGGGAGAGTGAGAGGGCCGTAGGGTACGAGTGCGAGCGGTAGGGAGGGTGAGCGTGTGTCTGATGGAGAATTTGAGGAGGGCGGGGGGGGGGGGCGT